CATCTGAGCTAACATTTGTGAGTCTGTGCCCACCAATAATCATTAAAAGGTATAGTCGCGGATTTTCGCGAATTTTTTAAAAGACCCGCCGTCTCAACAAAAAAAAAAAAAGCACATGTACAACCCTTTACAATCCTCGTGCACGCTCCGTTTAAAAGTTGCAGTTTGCATCGTTCATACAAACGTACTTTTCTAAAGAAGATTTGCAATTTTTGCACTATGTCAGCCTCACCAGCGGTAAGTCAAAAAGGGGACGAGCATGTAGGACGGCCTTAAGTAAACATATAACCAGAATGATTGACAATTAGGAGGAACACTTATTTAGATGATCCACCCGGAAAAAGAACATCCTCCACTATACCTTTAATTTCATCGTCTAAGGTGGCAGTGGGGGTTGTAGAAGAGACAGGCTACTCCTCCAAATGTATTGAAAGCAGTAGATTTAACATTTAACGATCTTGTCTTTCTGCCATAACGATCAAATGTAATTATTTTTTGAAACCTTTTTGCTCAAATTTTTATGCAGTAAAGTTGGCAACCTGACTGATAAAAACCCAAGTACAGTGAAGAGAATGGGAATTTAAACAAACATATGGAGTTTAATAAATGTGGCTGTACTATGCATATTGTACGATTTTCGATGGCACACCTCTGGAAATGGTTCCTAATAGTTTTCTAGAGAATAATGATCCAAATATAATTGGTTCCAATCAAAACAAAACAATTTCATTCCGAGAAAAAATAAATAAACTAGCTTCTTTTTTGAGACATCTCAGTCCCCGGGGCTAAATCCTGTAGAAAACCTTTGAATTCTCCCCCCATACATTAAACGCATTCAAATTAAAGGTTTAGATTTCTACATATTTTTAGTGCGAATCTAAGCTAGTGCAACAAAACATAATTTTCTTATACATCTTTAAATTGGGAGATAATGTATGCAGTTAAAGTCTGAGGGATTTACCTTCTAGGAGCTCAACTTTTTGGTGGATCAGGATCTGGTCAATCTTAAACAACAAAAAAAGCAGATCAAGAACAGACACTCTGCATCTACACATCCCATGTCCTTCTTCAAACAAATGAAAAACATTGCAACACATTTAAAATATTTTCATTAGGAAGTAATATATATCAATAACATTTGCTTAGAGAAAGAACAAACACCACAAAGTAAGGAAGTAAGTGCAGACTATCTCTAAATATATCAGCCAAGCACACAGCTTCATGCCTGAGAAAACTGTAAAAAATTACACAGAGAAAAACTGCTGACTTACTCATTTTATGTGAACATTGTTTCAAAAGTTCAAAAGGCTAAAAGGATAAAGTTCATTTCTAATTTTAAAATCAAGACATCTGACTGACTTGAAAAGGCCACAGCTGGACTTTTTCTAAGCTTTTAGTAACTTCAGTTTAAGCTCATTGGAAGTTAAAATAATAAAATGCATCTTGCTTAATATTCTAAAAGTGTTTAAACCTTATATGAATCACTGGAAACTTGGACAGACACCCAATACAATAAGGCTTTTCAATGTTTCATCCAACTAGACTTTAAGATGTTTTTTTAACAATTGAAGGGAAGTAAGCAAGTGTTTTTCCAACCAAGAGGGAGGCCCCGCAGATTCTGACAACTTTCAGAACACCATTCATATATTTTTTATTCAAAATGATTGTATTTTCTTTTAATTTTAAGTTGCATTCATGTATAAGATATGTTCTCCTACTCTGACCTACCTGTGTCAGGTACTCCAGCCCAGGTGGGACACCCACAGGAACCGACGCTGGAGCTGGAGCGATCGCCATTGACTGGCCGCCATAACCCGGTGCTTGACCTGGAACTGGGCCCGGTTGGTACATAACAGGAGGCTGGTCCTGGTGGTAGCCAACATTGAAGCCTGGTTGAGGTGCATAGCTTGGGTCTCCATAGCCCCCTGCTGGAACTGGATAAGGTGGTGCACCTGGGCCGCCGGGTTGAGGGTAAGGAGGATTGGGAGAGCCTGGATACCCTATAGGGAAATACAGAAATACATTAGCTTCAACAATTCAAAACGGAATTTACCAACTTTCGTGATAATTTTATATATTGGATATACTGCACGTTTTCCAAAAGAATTAAAAACAATCCACTGGAGTTGGTTTCCAGGTTTAAAGACGTTCGCTTCCCATCCAGGAAGCTTTTTCAATTCAAAATGTCAGGAATGGCGTTGCGTTTGAGGTTTTATACAGTAGCCCAACAAAGGATTGTTTTTGCTTTGAAAACATTTTCTATCTATGAGAAAGACTTCCTTTTTGCTATTAAACATTAAATTGTAATCCGTCTCAGAGACACTATCCCTCTCTCCATCTCCTCCTCAAACACACGCTGTCCCCCGCCCCGTCCCCCCTATGCTGTCTTCCTTTCTCTCTATCAACAAAGCTCCCCGCCTCAGCTGGCTCTCCCACTCCGCTCCATCTTTCACCCTGCACCTGCACCTCTGCCATCTTTCTGCTCCTTTGTCACTAAGCTAAAGGAAAAAAAAAAAACGCTCTTTTTCGCCCTCATGTTCCTCCGTCGTCGCACAAACTTGCCCACACTTCCTCACCACCTCGGCCATATCTAGACCCACAGCTAGTTCTTGATTATCCCTCTTGCGTTGTGGCGTGGAATGACATAGCGCAGACAAAGCTTCAAAATTGGGCATAAATCAAAAATATCTGCGTCATACCTGCGACAAGCTCACTATGACACACTGCTGCGGGAATATAACCAGCCCGGGCTGTGCATACTCCCACAGCAGTGTGTCGCAGTGAGCTTGCCGCAGATATTTTTTTATTTATCCCCAATGTTGAAGCGTGGTCTGCACCATGTTATTTTATGTCATATCATAACGAACATAAGGAACAATCAGAGATATGATTGTTCCTTATGTTCCTAACAGATACATTTCGCTCTAAAACTGTAGGTTTACAAGTGGTTCCTAGAATTTCTAAAAGTAGAATGGGAGGCAGATCTTTTAGTTATCAGGGTCCTGTGGAACCAAGTACCAGTTTTAGTCCGTGAGGCAGACACTGTGTCTAATTTTAAAGGTAGGCCTAAAACTTTCCTTTAAATAAGCTTATAGTTAAGAGTGGCTCAGGTTTTCCTAAGCCATCTCGATAATTATGCTGCTATAGGCTTAGACTTCTGGAGGTCATAGGGACCCCTATTTCATCATTCTATCTCTACTCTCCCATTCTACAGAATCTGTTAGTTCAATCTCTAAATTTATGCTCCCTCTGCTTTTTCTCATAGTAGCTTTGCCTTGTCTGCTCCTGTTTGGCCGTTACACCATCCTGGACAGAAATATCCGCTGTACTGCTGCCATCAACAATTTTGTTTATAGATGTTGGAGGTGGGCCTGTTTTTCAGTGTACTCCTGTTTCTCTGACTCTGACTGGCTTTTACAGTTGCCCTCTGTATGTCTGCTTCTGTCTTCTTGAACCCTAGTCGGACTTGGCAGATGGCCGCTCACACTGAGCCTGGTTCTGCTGGAGGTTTCTTCCTGTTAAAAGGGAGGGTATTCCTCTCCACTGTCGCTACAAACATGCTTAGTGTGAGGGATTGCTTTCGAGTCAATGAGTCAAGGCCATCAACTGGTTTTCCTTGGATGGACAACTTTGAATCAATTTGACTGTATGATCTGGTGAACTGTGAAGTGCCTTGAGATGACGTGTTGTGAATTGGTGCGATATAAATAAACTGAATTGAATCCCTCAAGAATTTTAGATAAGAAAGGAGGATTAGAAATAGGTCTACAATTGACCAGGTCATCTGGGTCAAGATAAAGTTTCTTAAGTAAAGGTGTAATTATAGCTACCTTAAAAGCCTAAGGCACATATCTCTGTAACAGGAGTACATTAATCACATCTAAAATGGAGATGGAAATTAGAGGGAAGATTGGATCTAACATACAAGTTGAAGGCATAGATGAAGATAATAGTTTTAACTCAGAGTTCAATTGGATCAAAATAGTGTAAACCTGGTTCAGACTCGATATATCTTCTGTGGTACTGCTCTCTCCGTACGAGCACCACCACAGAATGTAGGTAACACTGGTGTCTGACCTTTGCTCTGTGGTGCTGCTCAGTGAAAAGAGCCTGTGCATAAACCATAGAATGTAGATCACATATGTCAATAGTAAAAACCATTTACAGCTGATTAAAGAGAGCACATTTTTCACAATTTATATCTGAAAACAGTGAGATATTTTAACCAATCCTGGGCTTTTAAACCAGAGAGGTTGCAGCCTAATCACAAAAAGTTAACAAAGAAAACTCAAGCAAAAAATATTCTCATTCCCTAAAAACTCTATTTTCCCCCCGATAAATCCTTTTTTTTTTCCCCAGAAAAGAAGATCCCTGGTCTCCCCATGTGCAAGACAGTAACCTGTCATTTTACCACCTTTAGGTAACAATTACAACCCTCCTTTTTATTTACATCCCTATCGTACTTCCTCTTTGGATGAGTGGGAAGGCTCTTCTTCAGCTCCCAGTAATCAGATTACATCACTATTCCAATGAAAACAGCATCACGTTCATCACCCAGAAAACCTACTAGAAATGATTAGCCAAAAATCCCTTAGCCCTCCCTTGGAGCACAGCTCGTCTGCTCAAGACATAATCTTGGATAAGCAGAAAGCAGAAGTTAGATTTAAACGTTCAAATGTTCAATTTTTGACTCTTAAATACATGTGGTAAACACACCCAACTGAACCACAAGCAAATATAAAAAACAACAACATGTAATTCTATAAATACTACCAATAAGGATACACCGACCATTTTTTATTTTTATCTTTTAACATCAGGGCATTTTGCCTTTCAAATTTTTATGCAAATCTCTCTGGAACTTCAAATTATGTTGAACCAAGACTCCCATTGTGTTTTTATTGGACTCTGTTGTGTGTAGCCTCTAGACAAGACTTTTAAAGTGAATTTAAACCATATAATCACTCCAAAATCACATTATTTGAGACTTTCTGCCTTCTAGGCATCATGTCCAACTACATATGTGGTAGAACTGAAAAGAAGAAGGTCTTGAAACTACAATACAAACCACTAAAAGATCAAAGCTGCCTGTTGGTTTGTTATCTGATGATCAGATGATATGCCAAATCTGGGTATCTTTAATTTCTTATCAGTTTACAACAAGAAGGTTAATTTAAAGACTGTGTATGACGGAAGAAAGTGGTAGTGTGAGAGTACCTCTGTGCATCTGTTTAGTCTCGACTGTTTTCCTTCTCCACGATGAGAGCACAGAACTAATTACCTCCCAAGTCTCAGAGCAAACAGAGGTGTTTTGCAGGACAGGAAGTAAGCAGTTAGCTTTAAAAGCATCGTGAAGAGTCATGGTTTAAAAGTACACCCACTATTAATTAGTACAGCTTTTGCTATTAAGGAGAGTTATGGGTGTTATTACCCAATAAATATGATTTTAACCCTACTACACCATATCTTATTACTGAAAAACAAAAGGCCAAAACAGAAGTGTTATCTAAAGTGGTGACTTTTTCAGCATGTCTGTTCCTCTGTGGAGGATTTGTGGCCAATGCTTTTTTCTGTCATGGCTTCCGTGGTTAGCAGCCAAAGCACTCTTTATGCACCCCTCTGGGTCATCTTTTTTTCCTGTTCTGGCCGAGCCATTTTATTACACATAGCTACTTCAAAATTCCAGATAGTGCCTATAATCCACACCTCATAGTCAAATTGAATAAACATTACAAATGCATTCAGATCCCTGCATAGATGTAAAAGAAATAACTGTTAAAAGATGTATAAAAGAGACAACACTTCAGTGTTTTATTATTCTACATTAAATGCAGAAAACATAACTGTTTAATGCAGCTTACCTATTAAGACAAAAGAGTGCTTTAATCCACTTCTGCCTTGTCTCTGTTTTTTTAAGTGCTTAAATTAGCGTTTTAATATCCTCTGATGTAATGACTTGTGTTTTAACGGGTAATCTTTCAGTCTTTAACAGATTTTATCTCAGTTCCTTTCCTTTGTCTTTAATGGTGTCACAGATCAACTTGTCATGGCTGGCTTGAATTTACTTCGAAACACCATGCTGAAACTAAAACATAAAATAACATCTTTTCCTTCACTCAGTGACAATACCCACAACAAAGGATGACATTGTGATTTCAGAAGTGGTGGGAATACAAGCATTATTTAATATAACTAACTTCAGCGTGTTTGACCATCCAATCACGGACCCGATTCAGTGGTGCATCAGATATTTGTAAAGTGAGCTTATCAGTCAAACAAGAAAAGACGGAGGACCATTCATGAGCTTGTGTGTGGTCTAATAAAAATGGCTTGTACTTATATAGCGCTTTTTCAAGTAAGGAGACTTGACCAAAGCGCTTTACGCTACATTTAGTCATTTACCCATTCACTCACACACTGAATCTGCTCAGGAAGGCTGGCTTCAGCTTGAGCTGGGGTTTTCTGCTTGGTCCTAGTGCTCGATTAATGTCTGTGTACTGCAGCGTAACGCATTTGGACAGTAAAATTAGCAGGGGACACTTCTGCCCCCTCTCCCCCCAAAAAAAATTACATCCATGCCCACCAATAAGGAAGAGTTGGTGTTAGCACTGATTTGTTAAATAATAATATGTATGGTCAATTTTAGGGGTCTAAATCACACCCATCATGGCAATTCGATTCAGTATCAATTTCCTGACCCAACGATTCGATTATTCTCAATACTCAAGAATTTTCCTACGCCACTTCTGTCTTGCCTACTCTTTACGCAAGCGTGTGTGAAAACATAAAGAGGGTAATGGCTAAAGGAATCGAGGTAGGAGGGCAAAATAGGTTTAGGGCCACTGCAGCACGGGAGTCAGAATTACGTCCAGGAGCAAATGGATAAAAATAGGCCAGAGGGGGAAAAAAACTAAACATGAATCGCTACTCTTGAGGACGTGTCGATGCATTAGATTGTTGGCTGTTGGATTGATGCATCGATATAAAATGATTATTATTTACACCCCTAGTAAATTCACAGAGTTAATCAAGAGAAAATTGTTGATGTCGGTCATCAGGGGATTTTTTAAAATCTTTAGTTATTTGACCCATTTTAAAAGCTGAAAATGTTAAATGGAAGATGTTTGTGGGCGTTTTCCCAAGTTCAAATAAAGCTACAATTTCACCATATTGCAAACCGACAACAATAATAAAATATGATCAATATTCAACCAAAGGACCTTTAAAGCAATGAGCTCATCTGTTCTTTCCACAGTCTAATATAAAAGCTTACGCTGGTTAAAGAGATGGAAAGATTTTACAACTTCATGAGGTTTAGTGGAAAAAAAGTGTCTTGTACTTTGAACATCTTCACAGGTGGCACACCTGTGGTCACGCTTAACCCTGCTCTGACATTTATTTGACCCAACTCCTGATTACAAAGACTGTTTTAGACCTTTTCTGAAAGCTGTGACCAGAAAAGACCAATTTGGATGAGGTAAACTAACGGTTAAACTTTTAACAGTTGTAATTATTAACTGGCTTCAGTATCAGTAGTCAGCCTGAAAGATTGTATCTACTCCTCCTCCTCGCCCAGAATTTCTGGGTATGTGAACATGTAAATAACTAGAGGGAGATGCCCCATTAATGCTTAAATAATCATCTTTCTGCAGCCAAATTTCTGTAAGACAACATAAATCACATTGGTTGTCACAAATCAAGCCATCCTATTTTAAACCACATTTAATTAACTTTTAATTAGATTATCATGATTTACTCCTTTAAGAATTTTTTCAGATTTATTTGATTTTGGTTGTGGGTAAGACAAAGTGGATGGAGTAACCAATGGGTAACAGTTTCTGTGACCAAAAAACTGGGGAAATCACTCCAATCAACAACAACATAAAGAAAATATTAAAGCAGAATATTGATGATCCCTTTTACTTACCTTAAAACTACTAACAGTTATTGCCATGTGTGTAACAGGAAACCCATGGGTCTTTCTTATAAGTACCGTATATATTTTTTTCCGCAATTAAACAAGACTCAGCATGTTCTGACTGGTCTTTGTAAAAGGTGTGGCAAACCAGCCATAAAGCTGCCAAGTGTACCATATGGAAACAGAGATAATAAAGAAGGACGATCTGAACTACCTTTAGTATGCACTTTGCATAATATTAATAAACTACTTTGACAATTAACAGGTAACAGACGGGGAATCAAAACTAGGAATCGAACATTTTAGAACATGTTAACTATTCCAAAAGAAATGAAGGGAAAGAACTGGTTCTGACCAATTATTCAACCCTACCGTTGTCAGTTTATCTAAAAAAAATAAAAACTCAGTTATCTACAAACTCCACACATGGAGCTAAGTAATTTTTACTTATTGGAATCCAATGGATGCAAACTGCAACCAATTTAGTTTTACTTGGCTAAACTAAAGAAAATCTGAGGTCACACCATGGTTACTAACCCTTCGAAAGAGATTCCCTTTAAAGTTTCCATGACTCAGGAATTCTCCGTGTGACACATGGACTTCAGAAGACACTTTTCACCAGGGCATGGACCCTGATAAACAAAGCTTGTGCCTTGAATGGAAAAAACATTACTGGAAAAATGCAGATATGCAAAATCGAACATTACCTGACATGGATGACTGAGAATCTTCATCAGCAAAAAAAATAACAAAATTTCCATTGAAAGTTGTGCTGGTTAAGCAATGTTTTAGTTCCATGATCTCAGAAGGTGTGTCCATACAATGAGACAGGCTTTGGCTTTTAAAGGCATGCATTCACTTAGGCAAGAAGTGTGATAAAGAAAAATCAGTCATCAGAGATTAGAAAGCCACATTTGACAGAACTCATATTTTCTGCAAACCATTTTTTTAAACAATACATTACATCTTGTTTTGTATGTCCAGTCATATTTTTTTATGTTATATATTTAAAATCCTCCATCCATCCATTTTCTTACACGCTTAATCCCAAGCGGAGCCGCGAGGGGTGCTGGTGCCTATCTCCAGCTGTCTGCGGGCGAGAGGTGGGGTACACCCTGGACAGATTGCCAGTCGCAGGGCAAAACAGAGACAGACAACCAACCATTCACACATCCACTCACACCTAAGGAGAATCTAGAGACAGTCATGTTTTTGGAGGGAGGAAGCCGGAGTACCCGGAGAGAACCCACGCATGCTCAGGGAGAATGCAAACTGCATGCAGAAAGGGAATCGAACCCGGAACCTTCTTGCTGCAAGGCAGCAGTGCTACCCACTGTTCCACGATGCAGCCGTGAAAAATGAGTCATGAAAGATCAGAAAGCCACGTTTGACAAAACTCATATTTTCCACAAACCCTTTTTTTAAACAATACATCACATCTTCTTTTGTATGTCCAGTCATTTTTTTATGTTATATTTAGAACCCAACATCACCCAATGGTATTTCTGTCATAATTTAAAGGTATATTGGAGAATTTTCAGGAACTCCCGCGGGGGAATGCCTATTAAACACGTGTGCTTGCTCTTTTTAAAATTTGCTGTTTGCATCGCTCATACAAGCTTACTTTCCAAAAGAAGATTTGCAATTTTTCCACCAAGTCAGATTCCCCACCAGTAAGAGAAAATGGGGAGTAATGCAAGTAGGACGGCCTAGAGTAAACATATGCTGGTGAAGATTCTCAGTCATCCAGGTCATAGTCATTCCAAAAAAAGTAAAAAAAAAAAAGAAACAATCCACTGGACTTTGTTTCCAAGTTTGAAGACATTTTGCTTCCCATCCAGGAAGCAAGGACAAAACCCCCAAACCAAATATGAGCGGAGTGGTGTTCGGTTTCTGACTCTAGATTAAGTCCTCATGCAGATGAAGTCTTAACGAAAACCTTCCTTGACGATTACGGCTCCCATGACAACTGAGTAGCCTTGAAACAGATTATATTTTAAACCAGCTCAAATAAAGGCTATGTTTTAAGCTGCACCCCGTGGCGTCTTTGTCACATCTTTGTATGCATAACCTGCTACATTGTGGTGTGTTTGCATATGCGAGCCAACGCCAGAAAAAAAAACATCCCCTGATTTCATTGTTGCTGTTCTGTTTTCTAATCTATATTTTAAAAGCTTTTGAATTTATTGTGGATTTTACACTCGCTACTTGGGCTGGGCGATATGGACTTAAAATCTTATCATGATATTAGGTGATAATGATAAAACACTCTCTTCATTACTTCTTTGAAGACATTCTTTGGGATCTGGCTGTGACTGCAGCAACAGCAATCCTAGCCCCACTATCACTGTGCTTGAAATAAAAAATATACCAATTTAAAATAAGATTAAAATAGGCAACAAGTGTGATTTATATCACTAAACATCCCACAGCAAGCACATCTGATCATTTCTTCTAATTTGCCAATGCCCTAATGAAAGCAATAAAATGAATTTACAACTCATCTTATGGGGGGTTAATCATTACTAATTCTAATTTTTTATTTAGATTATAAATTAAATTATTAGGACTAAAAAAAATTAGTGAGTACAAGTACAAGTACTCACTACTTGTACTTGTTGCTCCTCCATCTTAGATCCACAAAAACCTTTTTTCCCCCTCTTCTGAGTTCATCGCTTGCATCCTACTTCTCTCATTTTTCTTATATCTATTTTTAAATTGTATAGCAGTGCTAATACTAATGCATTGGCATAGCATTAGTATTATTATTGTTATGATGCCTATTACAGCTTATCAGTTTCATCTTTGTGTACACACCGCTGTGACTCGCATCTGACCCAACTGGTTCTTTGTAATGACGGCATTCAATGTTGGCAATAAGCTTAGTTGAGCCACTTAAAAAGGTCACAAGTTTCCAATTTGTTTTAACTCTCACACAAGAAGTAAGAAAATGGGTCCACATGTGTTTCACAGTCACCCACCCACTTTTCAGGAAACTTCACAAGATTTGCATCAACTCGAAAGTGAAGCTGACCCTACTAACAAGGAAAAAAGGAACTAGATAGATAGACATGATGCCTTTAGAGCGCATGTGTCATCTCATCTCATCAAGGGAGTCCAATCTATTCTATTCAATTCAGTTCAGTTTATTTCTATAGCACCAATTCACAACACAAGTCATCTCAAGGCACTTACAGTTCACCAGAGCATACAGTCAAATTAATTCAAAGTGTTCTATCTAAGGAAAACCAGTTGATTGCATCGACTCATTGACTCCTTCACTACGCATGCTTGTAGCGACAGTGGAGAGGAAAAACTCCCTTTTAACAGGAAGAACCTCCAGCAGGACCAGGCTCAGTGTGAGCGGCCATCTGCCGAGGGGTTCAAGGAGACAGAAGCCGATGACATGAATGGATTCTGGTGTGCTATTGTTTGGTTGGAAAGAAAAGCTGCAGCCACACAGCCCTTTCTGGAACCAGTTTGACATCCCTGCTGTAGAGCCTTCCTTAGGGAGGGAGGAGCACACAGGACCAAAACAAACATACACCAGAATCCCAAGGAAAAAGTTTCATGTTTCATCACTTTTTTAAGGACAAAGGCCACGTGAGTAGTAAGAGGATACCAGGGGCTGAGCCAGGCCGTGATTCATTGCATTGTGTTGAAAACCTGGGTTAGGCAAGAGTTCAAGAATCTCAAAAGACAAGTTCAACAGCCTCACCATAGCCGTCAGATATTAATGAGAAAAAGTTAAGAGGAGGTAAAAGCAGGCTTTATTTGATTTATTTTTTACTGTAAAGTGGGAGAGTGTACACAGAACCAGCAGTGAAATGTTGATGCTTTAAAGAATGCCTCACCTGGAGCAGACATTTTGATTGGAAGAGAAATGGAGAAGAAAAAGTAGGTCACACTTCCTAGATCCCTCCCAGATTTTCCTTGGAAAGCTGGGGGGAAAAAAAAGTAGGGGAGTTGAGATATGAACTGTGGGAGAACTAAAGGGTGAGTACAGACTCCATACCATATGCAGATTAAAACCATGAGGCATGTTTATGAAGCCACATTTTCAAAACAAATCTGACTGCATTTAAATCCAGTTAGTAGATCCAGGAAAGTGGGCTTATATATAAATAAGGGGACAAAATTAAATTTGCTTACACAAAAAGGTAAGAAAAGAAAAAAAGTTTAAAAGGTAACAGTGGTACGGTTAAAAAAAAAAAACACACATCTGGTTGTGTTCTACTTAATTAACCTACTTACACACAGCTGTTTTTTTTATTTTTTTGCATATTTCAGGGGGGAAAAACTATCTGAAACATTTTGTACTCTTGTTGCTTTTTCTCTCTAAAAAAAAAGGTGAATGCTTCCAATTATTCAGTATTATTCTGACATGCAGGAAAATAAAAGATGCAAAACGACTTACTCGTGAATATAAACCCAGAAAAGAAGTGAAGAAGCAGATTCTTGGATGCAGAGTGATACTTGTAGATTTTTCCTCAAGCTGTTAGTCGTTGTTGTTGCCGCTGGTCTTTATCGGTCACTCCACCTCCCTTCCTCTCTCTCTCCTCCCCTTCCGTCAGTTTCTTTGGGCCTCCTTGTAGGGCGGTGTCCCACAACAGAGGGCGGAAACCAGTTTAATTCAGGCTATACCTGTTTTAATCATTTAGAATAACATGGGAGACACAGCCAGTCGATAAACGAGAGATGAAATATGTTATTTATAACTTATTATGGCACCGAGAAGGACGATGATGTCTTAAACATTTGTTTTCATAGGTCCGCGTGCGCACCTTTTACCGATATTAAGGTAATTTCAAAATAAAAGTATGTCAAGACTGAATACCTGACTGCCGCTTACAGAAATAATGAAAAATACAATAATTGAAATGCAACCTCGTAAAAACCAAGAACGGGATCGATCAATTTTAAAAAGTTATAACTATACAAATGAGTTTACAATATGCATTTTTTTCTTTGGAACTCAAACTACCACTTCAACAAATAGGGAATATATATATCACTTTCTGGTTGTTCACAAAAACAGTCAGTTTCTTCCTTCTTTCCTCCAAATAAAATAAAAACTATAAACAGTTTAGCTGTCATCGTATTTACAAACGGTAACTGCCTTTTTTTGTAATTGCATCATCCTCTAAAGCAATTAATTCAAACTAAATTTCTTAAAGTTTCATAAAGGTTTGACTGAACCTTAGATTTTATACTGTAGTTTTACTTTTATCAGACAAAGATAATGTAAGTTAACACACAACCAGTTTTTAATGAATTATGATGTTTACTCCCCTCTTCTTGCAAGGGGGGGATGGATAACTCCCCTAACCCCCCTGGAAATTACGCCCTTTTCACTCCTCAGAGATATTAAAGTTATAAGTTACAGTTTTACTTCGACAAAACGTTTGAGGGTGGTTACCGTAATATGTTTGTGGATGCGCTATAAAAGTAATCGAGCGGAGGGAGACTCAGCAATCAAATGCAGCTGCGGGGAGAGGTTCGTCACATCTGTCTGACACATAGAGGCATCAACCACCAGGGGTCGCCAAAGCGCCAGAAACAGAAACATTTCACAGCAAACAGAAATTCTCAGAGGATTTTGCAGCCTATTTCATTTAGATATTTAACCTGTCAATCATGTTTGACCAAATAAAAATGTTTTGACAAAATATAAATACTTAGCTATTGTTTTTAAGTAGCTTTTTAAGGGTCGTCACTTGAGTATTTATTTTGCTGAGTGTGTTTTACTTTGACTCACTATATTTAAACACATGTATCTGTAGGCTAATACCTTCTCATTACTTTCTCAAAACTAGCTTGTTACCTCTATGCATATTTATAACAAAATTAGGTTACCCCCCCTCCCTTCTGTTTCTGTTACACTGCAACTACAGATTATTTTGCAAATCGATTAATTATGTATTTAATAATCTATTCTTTAATAAAATAATTAGTTAATAATTGGACACCGAAAGTTCCTTAGAGAAAACTTTTTACGAAATTAAACCAGATGAAAATAAAGCGTTTCCACTTGACGAGTTCTGGATAGAGCATATTGACAGATGAAAAATGTTTTTATCTTAAATGCAAAATGTTTATGTATTTTCTTTTTTTTTTTTTTTGGTACAATTATAATTCTACTATTATTTTATAAAAAAAAAACTCTGGGTAACCAGAGTAAATATATATATATATATTATAATTTCAAAAAGATGAAATTGTCCAGTGAGCTGTCTCCAAACAAAATTTCTTTTTGTTTTACACTTGCGTAAACAAAATGACGAATAAAATCTGTCTAAAGTCTAAAAAAAAAAATTGCTGCTCTAAGTGGGTTGCTTTGTCAGCTAAAGGGACATTTTACAGTCTCTACACTCCAGTTAACGATGAATTGATTTCTAAATTAGTCAATGGTTATTTCAATAATTGATTAATCATAATTAATCTAATTAGTTGTTTCAATCCTAGTTCTGTTTAATATAGATACTGTCAGAAACTTTTATGTAGAACAACACTAGACTGAGTCAGTAGTTTTTATGTTATATTAACTAACTACGTTATTAGGTAGGGTAACCAGAGTAAAAGGCCGCCCAGAGTAAAAATGTGTCATAAATTTTTTTTCAGTTCGGATATTCTGATTGGATTCAGCAGGATTAGAATAAAGAGATTGCTGAATAAAGAGGAGAAATTACAACAACAAAAAACAGCAATTAACTGGTTTTGCACCAGCTGTCTGCTTGTATAGCACTTTATTTTGCCTTCCTGTTTTCAACATGTTTAATCAGTCATTCATAGACAGCTTGCACCTTGACATATCCTAAGTTGTGTTCTTTGCTACTGAGTAAAAGAGTGAAATAAAACATTTTTTCTGTGCATCAAACTTTTTTTTTTTACAATAGAGTTTCTTAAAGTTACGTTGTATCATTTACTTTTCTACTTAATTACAATGTAGAATTTGCAATTTTTTTTAGCATTTACTTAAATAAAGAGGCTCAAACTTTTCTTATTTACACAAGCATTTGTGCTTTTACTTAAATAAAGAATGTGAGTACTTTTGACACATCTTTGACTGATCATAGGTTTAAAAAACAAGACAAAGAAATACAGTTAATTAATGAATTAAGAATAAGAAAAATTAAAACTTACAAGTAAAGGCAATAAAAAAAATATATATTTTAGAAACAGATGGTTATCTTTTTTTCTCAATGGAGTCTCTAGGTGCTTCACTTCAGGAGGAACCTATATTCATCTTCTTTATCTTTGCTTCTGTGTACCCACTTTTTCACTAGTAAGGATATTTAAATATCTCAAATAATTCCGTGAATCTTGCTTTTATTAATTTTCACTTATTTTTATCACAATCTTTATGTGTTACATCAACATTAAATTTCACTTATCAGTGCGGTCCCTAGGATTGTATACTTGTTGTACCAACATTTTTTGTGATTAGTTCAGTCACAAGCAAAGGGTGGAAAGCATTACATCTATTGCTCTAAGTAACATGAATTGATAAATCACCAATCCTGCAACAGCTGGAGTTATTTACACTATTTATTTACTGGCTGTTATGCAGGGTACTTGCTGGCATGAAGCTTTAACAATATAAAAAAAAAAATCTGTTTTTTAAACCTAAAAAAAAAAGAAGAAAAGTTAAAAAAAAAATGAGATGCTTGAAGTGCATCTAACAGTTTTTTGTCTGGCTGTATATAACATAATAAAAACACAATCACTCCCCAGTTTAATAAGCTGCTACCTACTCCCTGTCAGCTGGCTGAAAGAAACCAGTTTTTCTTTGCTAAAAACAAGACAAATCGAATGATTGGGAAATATTTTCTGTGGAGGAAAAAAAAACAGTGTGGTAACTTTGTTGCAACTGTAGAAGGCTCATCCATGTATTTAGGTAACGTAGTTTACAACATTGTTTGGCTAGCTAAAAGCAACATGTATAATAAGAAGGCAACTGCATACTTTGAGTAGAGAGTACACTTAATTAACCCACTAATATTATCTTATAATATTACTAACCTTATTAATAATGAAATACAAGGGGGGAAATGCTCAATATTGGGGAACACAAAGATTTTAGCAGCTGTTCGTCCACAGCGGTAAGTTAAAGTGTAATATTTTTACAGTACAAGTTTAAAAAGCACCGGCCAAGTTGTCTTTTTTACCAGTTGAAATGAGACGGCTTTGGGGTATGTCCTTTAAAGGGCTCAAGTATTTTCACAATTTGAATCCTTATCTACCGACATCATATTTCTGCAAGAGATGCACATCAGACCGGGAAGGGAGGGGCTGCTGAGATGTAGCTGGACCACTCCGCTTTTTCCAAGTAAGGCCCGCGGGGGACAATCCTGATCCATTGCGGATTTATTACAGGCTACATATATTCATTTCATGTGACAATAGTTAATAGATATGGCCCTAATTGATGATCCAGACTTTTAAGTAAAAACATTTAATCTAATTCCTGATGTGGTCAACACAAACTTAATTCTAGTAGGTGATATAGTGGTGTTCTGGATGCTAATTTGGACAGATCAGCTCTGAAATCTAACCACTATGCTCCCCCTCTTTTTAAAACTCTCCACAAATCAAGTCCATCCATTTTCCGTCACGCTTATTCCTTCTGGGGTCTGTCTTTCAGTAACTTGAAATAATTCTTGTAACCTTTAATACTAATTTTATATCTGTTTGCTTGGGTAATTGAAAGAAATGTCAGTGATGAAAGGAGCTATGCATAACAACAGACAATGAAAGGATTATTGGGTCTTGTTTTACATTATTGTTTATGCCAACAGCATTATATGACACTACGCTAAAGATGTAATTATCCTAATACGCTGCCTCACTGTAATTTGTGCTCATGTCTGCAGAGAGGAGTATGTGTGCAGCTATAATTAGTTTAGTGTGGTACTTATAGGGAGCTGGGCTGGGGCGGAGTAATGAGGACACATACACAAACATGCACAAACAGGGCTCATTAAACAGATAAAAAAAACACACACATGGAAAGAAGTGGATCTAATGGGTTGGTAGTAATAAAGAAAAATAAAAAATACATGTAAATATTATACATCTAATGGGTTGGTAGTAATAAAGAAAAATAAAAAATACATGTAAATATTATACATTTAATATATATATATAAAACTTAAAGATTTAAAAAATCATCTTTCTTTCTTTTTTCTTTAGAAAAAAAAATGGCAACTGTGAATTAGTTCACCAAAATGGTGAATGTGAATCAATTGTTTTAAATGCAAAATATACACTAAATAAATTAACTCCATTAAAAATGTATAGCTTACATAACTGTTTCTTTGAAGTTCTTTGTATGTCAGTGTCTGTATTATTTCACTATAACTAACTCCAGTTGTTTGCTTTTCTTTATTTTTTATATCTTAAACAAAGTTAAAAAAAAATACAAAGAAAGAAAGAAAGAAAGAAAGAAAGAAAGAAAGAAAGAAAGAAAGAAAGAAAGAAAGAAAGAAAGAAAGAAAGAAAGAAAGACAAAGTAAAGGAAATTGCGCTTATTTTACACAAGTTGTAAGTAATTTATATATGTGTAAACCTCCGAAGGAACCCGGTCCCTTTTGGTTTAAGGATAAAAGTCCAGCAGGTCAGAAAGATTAAAATAAAATGACAAAGGCATAATTTAATATTAAACGTTTTTGCACTGGTTTAAAAGTGAACAATGAGGATTTTATTTCAAAAAAGTTAAAAAGACAATCCGCTGGACTTTGTTTCCAAGAAGACATTTCGCTTCCCATCCAGGAAGCTTTGAATTGAAAAAGCTTCCTGGATGGGAAAAAACCTGAAAAGATTTGTTCTTCTCTAATGATTCTCATAATATCCTCTAATTATTTCTCTATACTATCTGTTGATTTTATTGTTATCATTATCATTAATTTATCATAATATTATTATTCATCTAACCCAATCTAAGCCTTCCTTTTGGGTTGAAATCATGGTTTATATTGTAGCCTCCTGTTTTCACATATATAAGAGGAAATCTTTCATTAAATAAATATCTTACTTTTATTTCAAAATTTGCCAGAGCTATAGATAATTATGGCCATTATAACACTTTTCCTATCACTGATTGTTCTTTGTTTAATGTTTATCCGCTGTTACAGTGCTTAACTTCCTATATGTTATGAATGCAATGAGAAATACCAGTATATCAGCAAAGACATGAATAAATGTCAGATGTAGGTGCTCTAGGAACCACCTGCCGTCCAAAAATGACACAGAGTCCAGCTTTTTTGGGGATTACTTATTGGATGATGTTGCCCTTGTCTCTTCTTGCTTTTCTTCCTTTTGTTCCAAATCGGTTTTGTTTTCAGAATTAAGACCTTTCTTTCTTCATATTTAACAATCAAATAAAAAAATGTGAAAATTAATTGTTTAATCACAAAATGTACTTTTATTTATTTGTTTTTTATTTTGTATCATTTCAGCTCAATTACCTGAATCCTCCCTTTTCATCATCTTTTATTGAATATTGTGCTCCTAATTGAAACAGAGCATCCTCCTCTGACCTTTGAACTAAAAGCCAAACCTCAGAGTGATCTCTAAACATCAATAAGTCTTCAGATATACATGTTGCATGTAATAAAACAAAAGGCATGTCCCACACCCAACCTCAGGCTCCTAATGAGGCCTGTCCCTGATAATGGAGGTAATCAGTGCATCCTATCTGGCCTCTGCCCCTGCCGACATGCTGTCACGGTTTATTTATATTCCCCTGATCCATCAGCGCTCGCTCTATGTTTGGAGGGCCTCTGTGTCCTGAAATAGCAATAATTAGGACAGGGTGGGAAAAGAGGAAAAGTGAAAACGTGTCTCAGAGAGCATACCATCGGAGCGGACCCCCGGCCTGCCCCGTTCTCCTCCAATCTCTCCATCCATGCCGGTTGCTCTGTCTCCCATCTGTTTTGTTTTCTGGAGACACAGGCTGCAGGCCGGCGGCGACTAAATAAGAGGAAGAGGAGTGTTGTGTGTGTGTGTGTGTGTGTGTGTGTGTGTGTGGTCTCCATTGGGTGGCTTTCTGCAGTCAGGCGGAGCAGAGACCAACAGATTAACACACACACTGACATTCTGGTATCATCTTTGATCTCTCAGGAGCTTTTGTTTGAGTTATTCTAACATAGAACTGGTGCAGAGAGAAAAAAAAATAGAGTTTCTTGGCATCTTTATTCAGTCAGATAGATTTTTTTGTGACCAAATCTGCACACCTGCCACCGCTCCATCCAACCAGCTTCCATAATTCAGTTCACCAGATCCAACCATTTCAGACACTGGGTGCTCCACCTGCTGTGTTGTCAGTTTGCATCTTTGATAGAGATTTGATAGCCTGCATACTTCACTCACTTCTCTGATAACATCAATATTTATGACATAAGTGACAAACGTAACACCTAAGATGACAAAATGTAACTTATTTTTCAGCATATCTAACAATAGTTTTAATACATGTAATAAGTGAGCAACAAAAATTTTCCTCATTAACAAAATTTAGCTATTTTAAATAATCACTAATTCTGGCATCTGAGGCACTTTTTTAATTTATATTTATTTTTTTAATTGTTGAGTTTCCTGAACCCTGTGATTATTTTTCCATGACTTTGTTTTACCTATACTGTACATGTAGCCTGATTTTTTTAATGGCCATCAGCTCTTAGATGGTGTTTATAATCCAATCAAATTTTCTCCCATAAGCATGCAAAGCTTGTTTAACTTTACTCTGACTGAACTGAAACTATGAGCTGACAGTGGGACTATTCCTATTGTAAGGTATGGTAGAGGATCTGTCATAATTTGGGTATTTTGGGGGGGGTTTAATCTTTCACATAAACTTTTAGTTGAATCCCATTAGGATTTCCAAAATGATTTTGCAAGGCTCTCCAAAGATATATATATATATTAAAAAAAACAAATGTATGAACAGTGGTCCTGAGACCAGTTAAATAATAGTTGATTAGAACCCAAATATTACATGACTTTCAGATAAATACAAGTATCTGCTATAAGAAACATGTTGCAGTTTTCTAGAACCAACATTTTATTTGTATTTTTATGTTTTAAAATTAAGAAGAAAAAAAAAGCTTTTGTAGAAAGAGGAAATGTAGATTTTTTGGATGTTGATATCTATTGAAAATTATTTAAACCAAACACATGGAAATTTGAAACTTTACTGCTTGTAACGTTTTTGTGGCGTTTATCTCCTGTAAAGGAGATGTTGGATCTCAAAGACACAACTTGTACAACTGAATGTTTTTGAAAAAAAAGAAAAAACCTTAAAAAATACTTTTTTGAAAATAGTTAAAAAAAAATAAAATTAATAATAATAACACTAATAAACATTGTAGAAAGCCTTCTCAGAAAGGTTGACACTGTTCCATTAGCAAAGGGTTGGTGCAGTGCCGCAAATACCAAAGTTAAGCTCAGTATGGTGCACCAGAAATTGTGCCTTAAGTGGTTAAGTGTTGTTATAATTATCTCTTAATCTATAAATATTTCTTCCCCATGAATAAATCTGGCCTGATGAAAAACTGAGTTTCCAAAAACGTTTGAATGTCCTAAAATGATAGATGAATTACTTTGTGGTCATCTGGTCTCTCTAAACATTCAGTAAAAACCACATCCGATAGGATTCATCCATATATTAGAATCATGTTTTTTTCATTTAACATGAGGCAGGCTGAGATAAAACATCAATCCCTTCCTGTGAAATAAATTAAAGGCTGATGAGGATCTCAGCTTTGGTAAATAATGTTGAATAACATCATAAAAATCTAAAGAAGCTCTGAGATATGCGTGAAGGCTCCCTTTATATCCAGCTTAGTCATTCCCCTGTTTTCCTATATAGTTAATATAGCTCATTTTTGTTACTCAAAACATTCATCCTGTCATACTCAAAATAAAAAGTCCAAATTTAATTACAATAGGGTGGCATATTTACAGATATTTATTTCGAATTAGAAAAATACGAAAAATGACAAACATCAGAGATTTTAGAGCAGTAAAACGTCCCTTTTTATTGAGTTAAAGTTCACATAATCAAATAAAGCTAACTGTAATATGAGCAGTATGTGAAATCCTGTATAAACGTTTCAGTTATCTACTTTGTTCTTCACACTTTCTTTATTGAATAGGATTTCTGAACATATATATTGGAGATTATTGCAAAAAAAATATTGGTCACCACATTTTTCTAGAGTCTATCAACAGATTATTGTTTGTTTAGATTTTTTAGATAATTTTTTTGGCCTCGTTGTCTTGTTAACACAATTTGGTTAAGGAATATACATGAGTCAGCCATGCATATCATGCATTGCTTGAAAAGATGACAGTCCATAAAAAAAAAGTTGGATCAGAAGAATAAAAAATGCAGTTGCATCCCTAATTAAGACCTAAAACATAAGTGATGAACCAGTTTGATTTCTGCACAATGCAACTAAACTATACCCAGCTGTAATGAGGAACTGGGATCCTTGAGAAAACCTGGAAAATTATTGACCTTACAGGTTCCAAGAGCATCTGGTTCCCTAAAATCAAAATATAAAGACACACTGAGACCTGTGCACATCACTGCATGCTGCACTTTTTAATTCATTCCCCCAGTAGCTTAAGATACTATATAAACCTGCAGCCTAGACCATTAGTGGAATTAGTGAGAGACCAGTAGTCTATTGGAGGGTAAAACCAGTTGAAACTGGTCTGGTGTCTACACGGTGGCCCAAGACGAACACACTACAGAGCAAGTAACAACATCCTCAACGATCGGGCCTTATCACGCCGCCATCTGTCTTCACTGAGGGTGTGTAATGTGCATGTATGTACGTGTGTTGAGGCATTTTGTCATCGCCTAAAAACTGACTACAGAAGCTTTACAAAAAAAATCATGAAAATACTGGCCAGCAAGGCGGCAGATATAATTGGCATGTCTGAACACACACACACAAACAATGATCCTAAACAGCCCCATTATAGTCCCATAATATAAACCCACCCTGGCTGCATGCCTACAAAAAGCCTCCACACGGATCAACAGCAGCACAGTTTGCAGAGCTGCAGCCCAGATCTTTGAGAAGACAAACCCAGTGAGAATATTCAAGGTGAGCACCAGGTAACAGAATCATTTGGCTTATTATAATAAACCCTTTAACTTTGCATTGCTTTATATTTCTCCACCCAGATGCTCTGCTCCAGATGTGCGCTTCCACTGCTTGCTCTATACATCCTCTTAGAGCAGATATCTGCAGCTGTTATACAGAAAAAGAACAAAAGGGTAAGGTTTCCCCCTCAGTCATATGGTTTAACATTCACTCTTGAACAGCTGTAAGGATTTAGTTAACTTTATGCAATCTTGGTCTCTGATCCCAGGAGGTCATCTGGCCAGACCACGATGTCTTTTCCCACCTCTCAGATCCCTCTGACACAGGAGACCTGTCTGTGGGCGATGCAGGCGACATACGGAGGGGTGTGGAGGATAACTCAGAGGCCACTGTGCTGCCTGTTTCCACTCAGAACCAGAACCTGCCTAACCGTAAAGCCAACGATAAGAGGTAAGGATGCATGAAATGCCACTAAACAGAGTGCAAGACTGATGAGAGAAAGTTAGGATAAACATGTTCTATAAACACCCTTACAGCAACATTTTCTTTTAAATCGTGTTTGTGTAAAAATGTTTAAATCTTTTACGATTAATGTATGGTTTGGTTCATATCAATGACATTATGCATTTAAACTAACTACAGTTGACCATGAGTGGAGATGAATTTAACTTACCGTAATGTTCTGGGTATCCGTAGGAGGAAAGTGGCTCCTCTGGACTCCATCGGCCGTTTTCAGATACCGGGTTCCCGAAAACGAAAGGTAAGAAACAGGATCTTTACGAGTTCTGCAGGATTTCTGGTTTTGCCCAAAGAAACCTTGGTAAAGAGCTTTAAACTAAGCTGTTCACAAGACGTGATGGCTCTCTGGGGGCCAATGTTTGCCTTTCTATCCTCTCTGTATGGATTAGAAACATGACTTCATCCAGATCCTGAATGAGATCTGATTGTAGATATGGAGATAAAAGCCATTTTGAGCTTGCATTTATATCATAGGGGAAACTTTAGCATCGAGTTCATGAACTCTTCTTTGTAGATTTTATTGGCGATCTACTGAATGTGTTTTTTTTTTTTAATTCACGCAAATAAAGAAATTCATGTTTGGTCACAGTTCAGCTCCCAAAACACCTTCCTGTACTGCAGGATTTTGTTTTCTGGCGCTGGGATTATTGGCTGAGTTAAGTTTGTTGCTTAAGGAATTTCACTTAATTAGGAGATTGATTCAGTAAAACAATTGTAAGGCTTTTAACATCTCTTTACCAAGGTTGGACCAGTAAATGATCAGTAACAGACGTTTAAATAACTTTGGCTTGATTTTCCAAATTCAAGTTATTTCTACTAAAAGAAGAAAATAATCTGTTTTCCTCAGGAAAAGAAAAACGTCTACGGAGAAAACTGAACAACCTCCGACTCTCATCAAGGTTTTTTTTTTTTCCCCAATGCAAACATTTATATTTATTCAACCATTTGTATTTAATTCACCACCTGAGAGGGATTCTTTACAGATGGCTCCCTCTAGTGGTAGATGACAAACATAACAGTTTTGTTGTGTGCCTTGACTTCTAAAATAAACACTTTCAATCTTGTGTGCTTTCTTATCAATAATCAAACAACCCAGTACAATCTCAAGTTTTTTTTTTTGGTTTGTTTTATTACTCGAGCTACAGTTAAAGAAACAATATCAGACTGCAGAAAATATAGACTTTGCTTGGGTATTCTCTCTTTTCACTTTCACATATTTACAAGTCAAAGAACTGGATATGTACACAGAACGGAAGTTGTACAGAGTGCAACTACTCGTGGAGACTTGTTAAGACTCTCCCAACAACTTAACACGGTAAAAAAAATATATATATATGCCACAACCTACGCAGCCTCAAGGTATGCTTTTGTACACAACTTTGTTCTCAAGGCGAGACGCTCTTCTCCTGAAGTGGGCACGATTCTAACCCCACTAGCTAGGAAGAAAATAAAAAGGCGAGGAATAAACTGTTATGTGAAAAAAAAAATCTTTTTTTTTTTTACAGCCATTCATAGACAAGCCTTGGGTCACCTTGACAACGCAAGGAGCCGTAACCAGTCACCTTACAGCAATAACAAACCCAAACTTATACAGAGGAAGTAACAAGAAAATGAAAATGTATAAAAAAAAAAAGAATCAAACCAAGCAAAACATCCAAATTCAACAGCTTTCCTCTGTAGACGCCATTCATAGCAACTCTGCTAGTAATGTTTGATTAACAGGCCAACCAAAGACATTCGATTATCTCATGTGTACAGTGGAAATGTATTTAGGTTTACATTTTTTTCTTAATTCAACTTCTGGGAAGAAAAACACTTAAAAAATATACATATGTGCAACACATCTGAGATGAGTTCGCTAATTTCAATAAATTAATCAACTCTTGCTTGAGAGGAGCGAGAACTTTATCTTTTTTTTCCTTTAACTCTGACCATCACTGATAGAAATAAAACCCTCCTAAAGTAAGTATCCATTGAAATAAAAAGAGCTGCCCGTCAAGCATCATAACATTTAAGCAAATAATTGGAGTGACGATTTTCTTTTTTAGCTATACAAGTTATACTTCTATTTTTTAAGGTGATTGATTATCCGTCTATCTTTGACTGGCAATGGTTTTTAGGTAGAAATGTATGAATCAATAAGAAACCCGGTAAAAAAAAAAAAAAAAAGAAAGAAAACGTAAAAAGCCAATTAGGGGAATTTATAAGCAACCAATGAGGGATTCTGTCACAGTCTTCCCCTTCTTCAGAATCCATAAAGAAATAAAAAAGAATGCAAGGGATAAATATGGTTTTCGATTGTCAAAATAATTTGTGCAACTGCTGAGTTAGTTGCTGTCCCGGTGAGAATTTAGGCTGTTTTGGCTGTAGGCATCAGAGTAAGGGAGCTGGTCAGAGGGAGGCAGAAACAGTCCTCCAACAGTTTAAGTGTCCTTTTTGCTTCCCGACCGCCTCAAGTCTCTGCATTTCTGACAGTAAAAGATGTCGGGAACATTGGACTTTTTGATCTTTGCGCACGACAGGTGCACCCATATTCCGCACTGGTTGCACTCGATCATGGGACGTCCGGCGAACGGCTTCCCACAGTAACAGGTGATCAGGTCCCATGAGTCGTCCCCTGCGACGGATGAAGAGATTTAAGGCGTTAAATGTTGAACTAATCATGTAAATATAAATACATGGATCAAAGTAGAAAAAGGGGGATTGTGTCGTACCTGACTCCACCATGATATCTTCATCTGCGATCCAGGTTTCGCCCTCGCTGGAGCTCATTTCCGCTTCCCTGATGGATTCATCTGCCTTCCCCAAGCCGTGGCTGCTGGAGGTGGAGCCCCCGTGCGACGCCAGCTCCTCCCTCACGGGCCGCGCCTCGGCGTGTGAGTTCCGCGTCTCGGAGTCTGTCTCGCTCTGAGCAGCTGAGCTCTTCAACTTCTTGGCTTTGGGCTGTTTGGAGGAGTTCTTGCTTCGCTTAATGCGAGCCCTTTTCTCGCCCTCGCTGCTCCCGCTGTCCGGCGCCGTGGTCGAGCCCAGAGAGAGCTTTTTCAGTTTTTTGTCTTTTTTGCGCTCAGCTTTTGTGCTTGCCTGGCTGTCGTACAGAGAGTCTTTCAGGCGCATCTTGTCCAGCAGGGTGCTGTCAGAGTGCATGCGTCGAATGTTTTTGCCCTTATTTGCCCGAGCTTTGCGCACAAATGTGTGGATGGTGTGAATGTCAGAGCTCCCATCCGTCCAAGTGTTGCTTATGGAGCTGCTGCCCCCGACGCCTGCATCTGCTGATAGTCCTGAACTATGGGCAGAGCTGGAGGATGTTGGAGACCAGGAACTTTCCTGCAGATCAAACGTAGCCAGTAAATTTCCATATCTTACAAACAGGAAGCACTAAACCTATGTTTAATTGTTAAGGTCGACCTTTATATTATAAAAAAAAAAATAAAAAAATCCAGGCATTATTTTATTCTAAAACCCCTTAATTTTAGGTTAGACTGTCCAGTTTTCTGCTCGTCATAAACAGAGCAGGGTTTCTTTATATTTTCCCACTACAACATTAGATATTTCAGACTTAAACAGCAATCTAGACATTAATATCAAACGATCGTTTCACTTATTTTATGCAACACCTAGGGTTTCATTAGACTCTCCAATACTGGGAAGGTTTATCCATTTGTTTGGAATTTCAAACCAAACGGGACTTAAGCTACGTGGTTCCGATTCAAAACCATAATCCAAGTCATTCTAGAGGTTAAAGGAAGACATTTTGTGATTTAAGTATAAAATCAGTTCCCAAACTTAGACCGTAGGGATCATTCGTGGCTTATTAAACGTCGACACTTTCAGTCATCAGAACATTTTAAACAGTTTTCAAAATGTTAAAACTTCTTGGCCTTTTGAAGAGCATGTTAAGAAACTAAAAGCACCACAACCACAATGCAATAAATCTGATTTTAAGATGCTGCGATTTAAAAAAAGAAAAATATTTACCCAGGGCAGCTTTGTCTGCCCCATCCTCAGTCATATATTACTTATGGCTTTACTGCAAATGAAAACGTTTAATAATGATATAAGACTTCTTATTTTCTAATTGGTTTACAAATGGTTTATAGTTGAGCTTTTACAGTCCAAGATAGTTCTGTCCAATTGCACAATTTGGAAGCCAATACGCATGGTGTTTGGAGACTTTTCTAGCTGAAAACCTCCATATTGCTATTAATGTGTTATTACCAGGCCTATGGGTGTCTATTTAAGGCAACTGTATTTGTTGTACCAGAATCATTTATATCTTGATTTCTATTAGACATTGAGAGGTTGTTTTGGATGTGAAAGACAAACCAAATGGTATCAACCTATTCATGTGTGAATATTCTTCATGCATCATCTATTGCTAACATCCTCCTGATCAAATGCTACACAGCTAACACTAACAGTGACAGTCCAGATATAAACAAACAAAAAAAAGCTCACCTCCTTTGGACTGGGGATATAACCAGCATAAGCCAGAACAAAGCTGCAGAACTTGTTGAAGTCCTCCACGGTCCTCTTTTTTCTTTCTGGGGGCTACAGAAAGACAGGCAAGACTGATGTCAGGAAGAAGCGAATCTGCTCTGCATAAACTTTCCCCCAAAGCTAGCAACAAATGAATGACTACAACAGAAAATTGACTCACCAGGGGTTCCGTTTTACACGTCAGAAGCGAATCTGCCGGAGCGAAACAGAAATAATTTCATTTAAAATTGAACCCTTCTAGGCAAATAGATAAATAAAAGGCTACATTTTCTTTACACTATAGGAGCACTGAAAGACAAGTGCAGTAATGTTAGCATTAGCCGGCTAACTAAGGCCAATAACTTAATCGGGATTATTAAGCGCAAGCATGTCGGGCTTTATTTAAAACTCTGACTCCACTGGTATCTTTAAAAAGATGAGAATGGTTGCGAAATAAAACTAGCGAACGATAGCGACATAAAAGACAACGAGGAATAACCGCAACCGGGTTCAGTTTTACACAATCTGAGCGTTTTAAACCGCTTTTTCTCATATCTACACATTCTCATGTACCATATATGAGTTTGCAGAATAAATCAACAGAAAATAGCTTTATACTGCTTAAATGTCACTTGCGTTTTAACTGCAGGTACAGCGACAGATATTTGCAGCTTGCAGATATACCGGTCAATTCAGACAACGGTGCTACTCTTCGTGTCGGACAAATCGGAATTACTTTTCAGACACTTTTGATCCCTTAAAGACGTGGGTAGCGATAACCATCTGCTAATCGGTCACTTGATGTTGGCTTATCTTGAAATGGAAGTTGAAAGGAGAAGCAGGTTGTGGGGCTAACTTGATGCTAGCACGTTGATGCTAACGTTTTATCGGGCGTGTCTGGTTGATCAACGTTTTTTAAAAAGTTAAGACATTCGAGTCAGATGCAACATAATGTATTTTTCCTCCAAACATGTCAACTATTATTTGTTTAACAGCGTGTTCAGATAGTTTTAGAGACGGAGATTTTAGCTAGCTTGTATTTAGCTTTTAGCAATAGAATTCGGCGCGTTAGCCAACTAGCAAGCCGTAGACGAAGCATTTTATTGTAAAACTTCAGCAGGAACATTAAAAATGGCGCATATTTTATAAATATGGCGTTTCAGCAGTAGTTTAACAACTTTAAGTGGATTAGTCGGGAGCAAGCAAAGCTATTAATAAAGCCTGCGCAACTAAAACGTAGCAGTAGCATTAGTCACAACTTACGGGCTTAAAGCCAATACACGGCCACTGACCGTTAAAACCAACGATTTCTATGCTCCAAGTGTTGCTGCATATGCTTTTAAACTAACGTTAACATACATACCTTGGTGGTCAGACATTATGTCGAGCATTGTCGCCTAGCCGACGAGGCCCTGATCCAAGGAGAAGCTGCTTCTCAGCTAGCCGGAGAACAGCAGCCTTCCCCCGGCGTGGTTGCACTTAATCACCGGGTAACTTGCCACTAAAAAGAAAAATCAGCCAACAGCGCTAAGGACTAAAAAAAAAAAAAAAAAAGTATTTCTGAAGTTGGTCCACAGCGGAGCTGAACTTGTGGGTAACCCCGCGATCTTGATCTCGAGACAACGGCTGTCGTCAACCGAGCACCAACAAGCCACTATTTTTTTAAAGTCCAAAAAATAGTAACTCCTCATTCGCCTGGCATACACAGCTCCGCTTCAAGATTCTAAATGTGTTTAAAAAAAAAAAAAAAAGCATCGCTATAGAGGGGAAAACGTATAATCCTTAAATTGGCGCAACTGCTAAATACAAATCCATGGCGAGACGTTTTCAGTTGAAGTTTGTCGATTCTTCTCTGGAGGTACAAACCCACTAGAGTAGACTTTGGGCTTTATTGCGCGCGTCGGCAAACCCATCGAAGAGGGAGGGATAACATTAGACAGGATCGCCCGAGACAACACAGCGGGGAGGAGATTGCTTAGCTCTGATTGGATACTAAGGTTACAATGCGTTAGCTGATTGGTCGTCTGTTTATGAAGGGGGCGGGACCTGTCCAGTGAAAGGGGTTCAAGCTGATGTTGGGTAACGTAGTCTGGACTGCAAGGTTTGTTCAGTGTTAGTGGCCGCTAATGAACTTCATTACCCATAAACCCAAGGTGGCAGGAAACATGAAATATGACGTTTAGCTTGGACAACCCAAACACGCTAACCAAGCAAATATGCAGATAAAAGTAAGCCTTATAATTAGAAATACTACTTTTCGGCTAATTTTAATTTAACATTGGTATCAATCCGAGGTGCTGTTCGTGTAGTTAATTCAAAAAAATTTTTTCTCTTTTGTTCGTTGCTTTAACGTGCTATTATAGCATGCTAAGTAGCCCCAGCTACTTATGTACTGAAGTCAACCATGTTGCCTGGATTACTGCAAGGCATTGAGACTGGAGGGCTTCTTATAATACAAGGTAAAAAAAAAAAAAAAAAACTTCTCTCGTTGTGGCAAAAAAAATAACACACCAACGGTTTAAGATGACCAAATGTATGTTTACCTCCACCATCAACAGACTCCAGTAATTACTCAGGACGAGACCTTCTGAAGAGCTTCATCACTGCTGCCTTAAACAGGTATAATGCTGTGCTCACAGGAACATTTGATGAACATATGTGTATTTAACATGCATGTTTGCATTATCTCATAAAATGACTTGTTTATTTTCTTAACTCTCAGTTTTTCTGTTGTTTTTATAGACTTTTTCTAAGGTCCAACTTGTGTGACCACTTCTGCTATAACATTTGGCTGCTGTAACACCACAATTTCCCTGTTGTTGGACAATAAAGGGATTTTCTTTTCTAAGTTAAAAGCCAAAGATCTAGAGTTTTTGCAGCTTATAAATCTGGCAAGACATCTGATATGCATTTATTTAAACTGTCTGGATTAAATAATTTTCTTCAGGGGTCAAGTTGGGTCCATTTCAGAAGATTAAATGTCCATTTCTGTATTCATATCAAATTCCGTTTTTTCATCTTTGTATAGATCAGTCTCATGTTCAGGAGTCTGATGTCTCGAAACCCAGTCGACCCCTCTAAGAAAGGAAATTGCTTAAATGGATTTTAAAAAATATGCCAAGAAGCACATCGTCACTAAAACAGATCATCATCTGGAAGATGTCAAAAGAGAAGTACTAATTTAAAGAGTGAAGTAAAATAAATGTTGCCATGAGCTGTAAAGGTTTACTGAGAAAAGCGGCCCTTTGCTCCTAAATAATATCTTTTAACAGAATTTAAATCTTCATCTGGACAAAAAAAAAAGGCTCAGGCGAGTCATATAACTGTAGAAGCAGTCGATATGTGTGGAGCTATCAAGTTGATAGTGCTGGTAGTGACATCAGGTGTAAGTCTGCTGGTGCATTACAGAGATTGGATGGAATAATGAAGAAGATAAGCTAGCTCAAAAATCTTCTGCTTCATGATAACTCAACTATTAGACAGTTAAACTTTAGCAAGGTTAAGTGTTTAAAAGGAGAAGTAAACAGAAACCCAGATGAAAACTGGCTTAGGAAATAATAAAATAAATCTGTAAATACCCCCGAGGTCTACTGTTTCTTATAAGAGTCAGATCTGTCATAAGCTAAAAGCTTGTTAAGAGCAAAAAAATAGATATATTTTTTTGCTATATATCTAAATATTACTTAAGTGTATTTATAATTTTGAGTCTGACTGTAGAATTATAATCCTGGATACATTTAAGAAAATCCATCATAAAACTTGCTTTTGAAAATTAAAATTAGTATTGAAGTTACATCTAGTATTCACTAAAATCATTAAAAGCCTCAGATTTCAAGTCCCTTGAATGAGTGGGCTTTCTCATGGTACTTTGCTTGACCCATCCAGTGTTTACTTCACTTCTTCCCCATTGACTCGGCACCAGCACCCCCTAAAAAACCCTGCAAGGATAAGCAGATATAGACGATGGATAGATTCGTCTTAGCACTAAAAAAATTAATGTAAACACACTCTTTTTGCATATTTTCTGTCATCAGGGAGGAGGTCGTACATGTCCTTTGTTTTGATGTGAGCGAAGAGGAGCTAAGGGATAGATTGAAACCATTGGACACGCAGAGGTAAATATAACAATATTCCATTTGTTTAAATATTTTTTTTTAAGAAAAAAAAAAATTTTAATGGTTAAAACAGGTTTGTTTTTACAAAAACAAATGTGGTTGTTTTTACCAAATTGTGAAAGTTTCTGCCATTAGGCCTTGATGGTATGTTAAAAGATCGGAGCTTTAAATAAAGTGATAGTAAAAGGGGGCAGGGTGGGTGTAGCATGCAGCAAACCTCCCTGTTGTCATCATGCCTCAATGTTACTTTAAATAAACATAAACAAATTAGGGTTTGCATGTATGGCCGCCATCTGCTCGTCTAAGCCCTGTCACACCTTGGTGATTTAGACAGCGTATGCCTGACGTACCTAAAATCTGGCAAAAACGCTGGCATACATTGGATAAGTTATGGGTAGGTTTTGTATAAGTTATGAGCACGCTGAAGCACAGTATACTACGCTGGGACACGTCCAGGTACTTACTGCAGGTACTTTGAGAAATTTTGAGCATGCTCAAAATTACCCGACATATAACAGCGTATATATGTGGGTTATAAGTTACAGGTAAATTATTTGATTGTTGACATACGTTCAGTGTAAGTTACTCATTGCGGCGTCTAGCTTATCCAAAACCTATAACTGATCGTGCATAACTTATGCGTAATTTATCAAGAACTTCTCTCCAACGCATATCAACGTATGTGACGTGTTCCAGACGACCGCTGAACATTTTTCTAACTTACAGCTACTGTATAATGGTGTATTGACAGCATTTTGGTATAAAAGGGGATCACAGGAAGAAACCGTCTGTTCTCCTCCAAACTTCATCCGCACATAGGATGAGCGTTCACGGCCACGACCAACAAACTTCCTAGCAGACTTGACGTTGAATCTGCTGTGACTTTTTTTTTTTTTTTTTTGGGCAGGCGGTAAACAGCAGCTAGGTTAATACCGCGATCAAATAAAACCTTTTTATGCAGGCCGAGCATCTCCGGGCACATTGCTGCTCCCCTCAGGACACAGGCGTGTGCATCATTTCATGGGCATTACGCTGAAGTGCGTTATACATAAGTTAGGCTGTCGTTGGACATCAGTTCTTGACTCGTTGTGAATGCTCTATGTATATGTCCAAATTTGAAAAAATACAGAGAAAGTTCAGCGTATGCCTGACGTCCCTGAGTCTTCTAAAACACCAGCAATTGCTGAACTTTGTTTGAATTTTTTTTTCAATTTAAAGTCAAGGTGTAAAGGGGGCTTTAGGTGGTTTAGATTTTGGTAATATGATTCATTTCTAGGCTTGCTGTTTGCAGTACTCAATATGAATTTAGCTTCAAGTTGTGTTTCTTTAATAATAAATGGTCAAAAACATAATTTTTTTTGGTTTTGATTATGTCTTTTTTTAAGCTGTAAATCTCTCAATAGCTTGCTGCTAAAAACACCTTAATTTCCCAGCTGTGTGACATAAAAAGGATTATTATGATATGTTATTTTTCTGTATGATATAGGATAGGGTTACTATTATAGTAAAACTTAAATAAGGTTGAAATTAAATCAGTTTTTATAAATGTATTCACTGCCTTGCAAAAGTGTTCACATCTCGATCTGTTTGAAATGTGCGTGTGTGTATGTATCTACATATATACATAAATATTTTATCTTTGTCAAATATTTCTACATATATAAATGTGTGTACCGTATATTAAGGCTAACAATTAATCGGATTAGTCCTGATTGACTATTATATTATATAATATGCTCTATCCAGAACTCCTCAAACGGAAAAGTTTAATTTTCAACAGGTTTGATTTCTTAAAAAGTCTTCTTTAAGGAACCTTTTGCTATTCAATTTTAATCAAATAATTGAAAAAAAAAATCTTCAGATTAATGGATTTGCAAAAGAAAAGTGATACACTGTTTTAAAATCTAAAAAGTGTGGTGTGCATTCATATTTAGTCACTTTTACTCTGCTACACCTAAATAAAAACAATCCACCTGTGTGGGACTTTTTCTCAGTACAAATCCGACTGTTTTTGGAAAACTTGAGTTCCATAAATCCTGCCCTCGACCTCAGATGCTCTGCACCTTTTTAGACGAGTCGCTGCTTCAACGCCTGAATCAAATCTCTAAATGATCTAATGGGAAAGCAATCAAGTTCTCTAGACTCACGCTGATCTAAATGATCTAAATATTTGACTCGGGTATGTGAAAGCAGAGACGACTCTAGAAATTGAGAGCTGAAATTGAGAAACCCTGCTTTAGAAATTTACCCAAACCATGTTCCCCATTCAGTTGGAACACCAACAAAACTAAAAACTTGTAGGGATACTTCTCAAAAGATTCCATTAGTAATTTATAAAGTGCTCAGGAGCTAACAAATGCTTGCCTCAAATATTTATTTGTAAAAACGTTTTAAAAACTATCATCTGTTAAGTCTGTTTTTACAGCATGACACAGTGGAAACCTTTTAAGGCTTAGAAAATAAATTTTCATTCACCTAAATTTCAGGTTGCATATTCACGATGCTTATTCGGACCCTCTGGGATGGACCGCTCACCCAGCTTTTACAGTTCAACAGTTCAATTCCAAGGATCTCACAGACTTGATTAGACAAACCTCACAGCAGAGGCCAGCTACGCTCGTCATCGACTCTTTGTCGTGGATATTGAGGCATGCGACTGCTCCTGCTGTCTGCAGGACACTTCAGCAACTCAGAAAAGGTGATACCTTTAATTTTTAGATTTTTTGACAATAACCATTTCAGCTATTTGGAGCTTTAAGGTGATTAAAACAAAAGAACTTCTTCCACTGATGTATTATTCTCTGTTTTCATCAGGGGGAGCTGTGAGAGCTATTATCGGCCTGCTCCATACAGATATGCATCAGAGGGGCACTGTGGGGAGCGTCTGCCACTTGGCAACTTCTCTCATCTCTGTGGCACCTGGAGTGAAGGGAAATGAAGCAGTGGCAAGAATAACAAAGCGCTCCAAATCAGGGAAAGTTATGCAAGATGTAAGGATATTTTCTAGGTAGTCTACTTTATTAGGCTAATACTCTGCTGTAAAGTTACTGACCGTCTCTGTTTTACCCCCAGGAGGAGATTTTTTGCATCACAGAGGACCTCGCAGTCACGGTTCTGAGCACGTCCTGTCATCCTGAACCGAAGCCGACTAACACAGAGGAAGAGCAGGTGCTGATAAACTCATCCTAAATAGAGTCAGGTGAACACATACATGACAGGTGCTGAAACCGATCCTCCTTGTGTGTCAACAGGCGGACCCAACAGCTAACTTGACCTTTAACCTCCGACTGTCTGATTCAGAGTTAGAGGCCAAGCAGAAACTCACACTTCCTTTCGTCTTCAGCAAAGAGAAGTTAGTCTATTCGATGAGTTTATTTGTCTTTATTTTTCAGATCAAATGTATATGTATGAATTTAAAAAAATTATTCCTTTCTTTTAATGGTGCAGGAAAACAGCTCTGCTCCATCCAGGTCCAGGTTCTGGGCGAATTCTGTATGAGCCTGATGCAAATGATGATTACGACCAGGAGGACCCCGATGATGATCTTGATATCTAGTGTTCAGGCATGATGGACTGTGCTGCTGAAACTGAAAAACTTTGCAGCTGGGCTGTTGTTTCCTTTGTTTCCGTTTATGTAGTACGGAGAATGTAGGATGCAAAGCCACACAACTTCTAATTTTCTACAACATGTCTTCATTCTTTATGAAATAAAAATAAATAGGTCTCTTTCTTAAATTTGCACTTCATTTTTTATGTTTGGGTTTTCAAAACAATAAAACAACTGATAAAATCTTATGAGTTTTTGATGTATTTTGCTGATCAGTGTTATTTCCCTTCTGACTGGAGTATCCAAAATAAAACAAAAGTATGGGATCATGTCGTTAAGGTTCTGAAAGGAAACAACTGAAATCATGAATCAAAAGGAGCAGAAAGTAGTAAAAACATTATCTGCCCTCATTTTCAATAAAGCATCACTTATTCAACTCAGATAATTACATCCACACCATGTTAACCAATACAAAGAAAACGTTAGCCAATCGACTGATCAAAATTACCTTCAAGTTTCTATTAAACACAGGATAAGTTTCAGGTCGATTTAACTCTCTAATAAGCTTATTCCACAAAACAACAGCTTTAATAGTAATACATCTTTCCATCATCTCTGTTCTGAAGCTGGATTTTTTTGAAAATTTCCATTTTAAGTTATCCTTACTTTCTCTTTTAGAAAATCTGTTTTGATATTGTTTGGTTGGATTTTATGTGCCTTTAAAACATAGAATATCAATTCATTAAGTTTAATGTATTTAACTTAATAAATATCTGATTTGTGCTATAAGTGAAAGTGGATATTTTTTTTATAACTCTTATGGCTCCCTTCTGCAATCAAAAGAGGATTAAAATGTGATTTATAAGCATTACCCCACACTTCAACACAACATGTCAGATGTGGTACAATCAGTGATTTATACAGAATTCATAAGGTTTTTTTGTTTAGGAATTCCTTTATCCTGCTTAAAAGAGCAATCGTTTTTTATTTTAAGTTTTGTATGATCAATGTAAAGTTTCCATGTCAATTGTTCATAAATTAGATCACCAAGAAACTTGATTGTGTAATTGTATGAAAATATCAATCTTGTAAGTCTTTACAGATTCTCGAATTATTATATTCAGTAGTAGTGGGCTTTCACCAGTCCTTTCAAAAACACATATGCTTTTGCTCTGGCTGCAAGATCAATAGCCTCCTTTTACTCTAACCTGAAAATATGATGTACATTAAACTTGAATCAATTATTTTGATAAATTTACAGCAAATAGAATGTACAATTAGTGTGTTTATTATTATTTCAATTTGATTTGTGAACTAATATTGACTTTAAATTCAAAAATTGTTTTCAATCATAACAAACCTGCATATTAATTCAATGAAGTCCTAAGATCAATTAAGAAAAATATGAATTAGATGTTAATTTAAATAAATTCATAAATAAGCCAAACAATAGTTCACATTTTCCACAAAACCTGATTTTTTTTTTTTTTTTTTTATTAAGGGTTCACGTCAAATCTATGGAAGAGGATTAGAGCCACTGAAAAAAAAAGTTAACGGATTTTTAAAT